GATCAGCATCGCGCTCCAAATCGCACTTTTGACTGCGATTATTTGGAATTAGCTGTGTGTGAACGCTCGCGCAAATAATCCCGGTATTTTCTATCCCATCATTCCAAGCGAGTGAGCAGTGAGCATGCGCAGTGAGCATCATTCCGGCAGTGAGCATGCGCAGTGAGCATCATTCCGGCAGTGAGCATGCGCAGTGAGCATCATTCCGGCAGTGAGCATGCGCAGTTCGATTAATAGAATTATCCCGCTCGGCGATTAGCGAGATATTTCCACCTGTGTGAACAACGACACAATTATCTCGGTATTTCATCGCGATTAGCATCGCGGTTTTTCTTGTGTGTGAACGCGCCTAATATTTGTAGTGTTAGTTAACTTAATGTAAATGTTATGAAATAAATTTCATGCAACTTTTAATTACTATTATTATACGTCATTGATCCCAGCATCATTTACCACATTACCAATATTTTATTCTCTTCATATAATGAGTGAAACAATGCGAATGGCCATGTCTGCTGTCACTGCAATACGTACAAAATGTACATGATTAGGCTATTTCATCCGGACAACCAAAACTCTTGAGGGACAACCATATGCTACTCTCTTGGTTGTCCTCCGGACAACCCAAAAAAAACTTTAAAATTGAGCACTGTTAAGTGTATGTCAAAGCCATAAAAATATATAGTAAGCAATCAGTTACTATATATCAGAGATGAGAACAGCAAGAAGGGAAAAAGAGGAAAAGATAACGAAGGACAAGTACGAGGCGGCATAGCCGCCAAGTGGGGAGGGTGCGGGAGGGGTGCCCCCTCCCCCAAGGGATCCCCCCAGAATTTTTTTGAGAAAAATGGACTCTGTAACGGCATCTTTAGGCCATGTGGAGATACATACTAGCACAATTTAGGTATTTGCAAAAGCCATATAATATTATTTTAACAACAGATTTGAGGCCTTCCCCATGACCTTTTGTTGCTAATGGCCCTGTCACACATTGACGATTTAGACCTCGTATGCCGGACGTATCAAAATTTCTCTAAAAC